TTTTTTAATGTCGTGGAAACAGTGGACTGGTGCTCAGCATTCATTTCAACCTGGGTCCTCCTGGTGTATCTTTCTAGTTTGCAGAGTAAGACACCTGAAAACTACATTACCCAGACTTCCTTGCAGCTAGGGTTCTGTAGGCAAGACTGCCTCTGCCAATTAGATTCACTGGGAGAAGATTTTGGAGGCAGAAGTGAGGCAGAAGCTTTTGACTTGCTTCTGGCAAGGCTAACCGGTGGAACGTTGTGTTGTGTTGTGCTGTGTTCCAGTGTCCAATCATAAACTCCCTGAGTGTATCGAACAGGGATGGTGAGTCAGGGGCTTCCTGACCTTGGCATAGCAGCTGCAGTGGTATATTCTTGGAGTCACAATTGCAGGGGCAGTCTTCCAAGTCCTTACATGCCTGATTGGGTGGGAGTAACAGCTTTCTGTGGGCGAAGCACCAATCCACTCCACCCCCACCATCCTCCTTCCCACACTTGGTTTTCCCTCTCTCCTCCTTTTAGCAGTAAATGGTACCATCCTTTACCCAGTTGCTCAGCTAAAAACCCAGGAATTATCTTGATTCCTAGCATCTCACCAGTCCCCCACATCCAATCCACTTGCAAGTCCCATTTAATCTATATTTAACACATGCCCAAATCTGGCCACTTCTTTTCATCTCTACTGCTAACACTGTGGTCTGAGCTACCTTACATTTTTCTTGAGGTCTGATAATAGATTCCAAACTAGTTTCCTTGCTTCCTGTCTTGCCCTGTGATAATCTATTTTCCATACAGTGGCAGAACATTATTTTATTTCACTTTTTTAATGTTTATTTTTGAGAGAGAGAGAGAGAGAGACAGAACATGAGTGGGTGAGGGGTGGAGCCAGAGGGAGACACAGAATCCAAAGCAGTCTCCAGGCTCTGAGCTGTCAGCACAGAACCTGACATGGGGCTCAAACCCACGAATAGTGAGATCATGACCTGAGCCGAAGTCTGGTACTTAACTCACTGAGCCACTCAAGTGCACCACACAGAACATTATTTTAAAATAATAAATTAGGGGCACCTGGGTGGCTCAGTTGGTTAAGCATCTGACTTTGGCTCAGGTCATGATTTCACCATTAGTGAGTTCAAGCCCTGCATTGGGCTCTGTGCTCACAGCTCAGAGCCTGGAGCCTGCTTCCAATTCTGTGTCTCCTCTCTCTGCCCCTCCCCTACCCAGGCTCTGTCTCTCTGTCTCTCTCAAAAATAAATATTTTTAAAAGTTTAAAATAAAAAAATTAAATAATAAATTTAAATCATTACTCCCATGCTTAAAAATCCTTAAGTAGTCTCTGTTGCATTTAGAATGCATTCCAAATCTTTGCTGTGGTCCAAGAAGCCACATGTTCTGACCTTATCTCTGCTGTGTTCCATCTTGTTAACAGTGCTCAGGTCATTCTGGCCTTCCTCACATTTAGGGTGTTCCTGTCTCAGGGCCTTTGCATTTGATGGAACTTCTGCCTGGAATGTTTTTCCAAATCTTTAAGTGGCTAGTTTCCTGCTTTCATTGACTTCTTAGTTCTGTTGTTATCTCCTCAGAGAGGCTTTTCTTACTACTTCCCTGAGAGTTGTCCTCTGCCCAGATCCCTGTCATACTTGTAGCATTGATCACTGTCCGAAGCTATTTCCTTGCATACTATTTTCACTGTCAGGGTCTCCAATTAGAGCGTAACCACAACGGGTATGGCTCAGTCAGTTGAGCGTCCAACTTTTGATTTCAGCTCAGGTCATAATCTCAGGGTTGTGAGATCAAGGCCCTCTGCATGGAGCCTGCTTAGGATTCTTTCTCACAAGTGTCCATTTGTGCGTGTGCTCTCTCTCTCTCAAAAAAAGAGGGATTCTGTCTTATTTATACTGCATCCCTAGTACCTCTCTGTACATAGTAGATGCTCAATAAATAATTTGAGTTTATTTATATCTCTGTCTCATTCTGTGGTGTGCGGGGGTTCATATAAGAACACAAAACATTTGAAATGTTATGTCAGAGTTAAGTTGCATGATTATATTCTATTATAAGCCCTTCTCAGAGAGTCTCCAGCACTGGGTCTCTCCTTACTTGTACCAGGAGAAGTGAAATAATGGAGAAAGAGTAAAGACTAGAAACAAAACTTGAGAGACTGGTGTTGTGCTCCCTTCTCCACAGTTAGGAACCATTAGGATGAGATCTTTCCCTGGGTCACTTATTTCTTTCCTCCATTCTCCATGCTTCTCAGACGTATGCCAGCTTCATGCCCATCATACACTACTTCTTTCCTGCTTTGTGTCCAACACTACCCTTGGGGTGGCTGCCCCATCTGTCTGTTGCTTGGGGCTCATCTAATCTCCAAGCCTGCCCAAGGAATCATACACAGTCTCTGCTTCTTCCTTTTTTTTGTTTTTGTTTTTTTTTGTTTGTTTTTTTGTTTTGTCCCAAAAGACAAGCTCAAAAGCCATTTTGTGTTAAGGATTTAGTTGTTAATCACTGGTGAGAATGATAAACAAAAGTTGCAAAGTTCTTGGAGCTGTGTTCTCTGACCTGCGTGGCTCCTAACTCCTGTTCCCAGTGTAAAGGAAAGGATCCCCTGGCTTATACTGAGGCACATGTGAGGTGTGGTGTGTCCCTTCATTTCCAGTAAATGCAAAGAGAAACTAAGGAGCATTCCAAACCCCACTTGTGCCTCAGCATAAACCACTGAGACTCTTCCCCTTATGATGCTTTCTCTTCCCATCATTGGTGCCCGGTAACCTAAGGGCCTCTAATTTTCTACCCCTCTGCTGTGTCTTGGAGCTATGTCTTCTGGGTCTCTGCTCACTGTGTTCACCTGTGGCCAGCAGAAGGTCCTGGGGTTTGTACTTAAGCTGCAGGGACCCCACAAGTCCTGCCAGGAAAAGTGGAAGGACCTTAAAATGTGTCACTTATAGCACAAACCCTGATGTTCCAGCTGTTCCGTCTTCTGAAGACAATAGCCACAGGATATTTGCATCTTCCGGAGGCAAGGGGTGGCATGTGGTTGTCTGGAATACCTGGGGCTGAGTGAGGCCTCCAGGTTTTAAAAAGCTTTCAAGTAATCTGGAAAGCTCGGGTGCCCCCCTGTGGTTCCTAGTGGAATGTATCCAATTTGCCTTCAGGGAAAGAGGATTAGAATAAGGCAGAGAAGGGATATCCTGTTTCCCTGCTTCTCAAACTGAGATCTGGCCCACCCGCCAGCTGTATCAGCATCTCTGGTCTCACTCCAGACATGCTGAATCAGAATCTGCACTTTTAACAAGGTCTGCACATTCATGTTGGAAAGGCATGGATCTGGCACCCTCCAAGATGGCCCTGAACGCTCTCCTTTTCTCACCTCATAAGGAGATGCTGATGGCCAAAGACCCAACAACTCCCAGGTAACGCTGCCTCTCCTTAGGGTCTAGAGAGATGGAGTAGATCCTGCCCCATTTCCATACTCCTAACCACTTCCCAAGGAGCTTTCCATACAATAGGCATCCTTGGTTTTCCCTTGATCTCTGGATCAACCTGTTCAAATCCAGGCAGCAGGGTTGAGTGCCGTGAGCTTTACGTGACTCAGCCCTCTCCTCCCAGAGCTCATAACATTCATCTTTTAAAGCTGTGTTGGAAAAGCACACGGCATTTACAGCAGATGGCCTAAGCAGTGCACTGCTCTGTTCTCCTTCCCAAGGCAAACAAACCCCTGTGGTAGAGAAAACAGCCCAATTATATAAGTACCCATTATGGGGTTACCCCAAGAGTGCTGGTCTAATTCTCTGGTTCCCCAACATTTCTGCACCATGCCCCCCATCAGATTGCTTCTCTAAATCATCTGGTTCTAAGTTAAATATTCTCTGGGAATCTTAGATTTCCCCAAAGCAATGTATCTTCTTGCATGGAGTCTGGATTCCATTAGGGGCCAGCAATGAAAAGACCATCAGAATAAAAATCAGGAATCCTGCTACTTTCTCCTGTCCACACCTGTCCTAGGGCCTCATAAGAGTCTCAACAGGCGGGTTCATACCTGCATCCCCCTTTTCCAGGGCTAGATATTATGGCTGGTAACACTGTGTGCCTGGAAACTTTAGTAACCAAGGAACATTTTTGTTTTGGGAACTATGAAGCTTTTTTTTTTTTTTTTTTTTAAATATAAGAGATTGCTATTGTAACTTAAAAAGACAATCAGATAATCTCCAGGTGAAACTCTACTGCCTCTATAATGCTCACAGAGCCTGGAAAGAAGGTGAACTCCAACTGGTTGGATGTGCTCTGGGAGTATAACATGCTTCGGGGGTGGGGGTGGGGGAACGTTCATGTTTCTAGAGTCCCAAGAAGGTGTCATAAGTGTGTGGCGTTGGCTGGGGTAGAGAGTGCTGCCCTTGGAGTGAAACACAGTTGCAGCTGTGTGTGAAAGTGGTGAGATCTGTCTAATGTATCCTGTGTGCTGGGTGGGTGTATGTGTGGCTAAGCCCTTTCTTACTTACGGAGCTGAGAGACCTGGGTTCCGGTTTGGTGGCCTTGAACACCCCCCTCAGATCTTCCTGAGCCTCTGTCTACTCATTTTTAAATTAGGGACTTAGGCTGGCTGATTTCTAAGTTCTCTTCCAACTATGTCATGCTGAACATCCAGCCTGTGTGTGTGAGGGGCTTTTGCTACTGGTTTTACTATTGAACTTGGTTCTGGGTCTCTTTGTTGCTATAGGTCAGCCCTTCCTTGTTTGGTGTGACTCCTCGGCCAGCTTCCGTACCTGAGTTGTTGCTGGCTGAAAAGCTGGAAATTGACTTTTCAGAAATTATCTTACTCAATGAAAATGCAGGAAGCTTGTGCATGAAACTCACTCGGCAAACACACACACACATACACAGAGAGAGAGAGAGAGAGCGCGCGCGAGCGAGCAAGAGAGCAAGAGCAAGAAACCACAGGGCCTATCGGTTTGGGTTTGTCATCATCGAGCAGACAAGAACATTGCAGAAAACTCTAGGCAGAGAGGAAATGAACTTGAGAGAAGGGGGAACCCACGGCAGGGAGGAGGGAAAGAGGGCGGGCGTGGAAGGAGAGAACTGAAGTGCAGGGGCACCGTCATGGTGAGAAGATGGAAGAAGTGGCAGTGAAGCAGGGCCCCCTGTATCTTCTGCAGCAGCAGACTTTTGGAAAGGTAAGGGCAAGGCTGGGCCGGGACTGGGCAGAGGGGCTGGGAGGGCTGCTGGAAATTCCTGGGATGAGAGGGAGCCCCCAAATGTTTCAAACCCCGTATGGGAAGGTGGGGACTGTGCACCCCCGCCCCCCCCCCCCCCACGTTAGACTCTTAGCAGCCACTGGCTTCCCCAAACAGGCCCCAAACTGGGCTCTTTGCAGATGGCTGTTTGCCAGTGGGGGGGAGGCTAAATGAGGGCTCTGACTCCATTTCTTGCCTCTAAGGCTGTGTGGCAACATGGGATGCTTTGGAAGGGAATGCAGGGGAAGGTGGGGGGATAACTTGGAATTGCTGCGGAAATTCCTTCTCCCTTTCCTGCCCCAGTGGGATGAGTTTGGCTGGTGTCAAGCTTGAGCTGGGGGTCTCTGTGGCCAGCCTCCTTTTCCTTCCTTGGCCTCCTCGAATGAGGAAGTCCTCTGTCACTCGGCTGACCCGCACAAGGGCTTCTCTGTCTCTCTCATGACCCAACCTGTCAAAGGATGAAGCAGGAAGGTTCAAGAGGGTAGACTGAAGTTCCTGGCATAGGGTTTTCTGTAGGACCTCACACAGAGCAAGAGTGATGGGCTCTGGCCTGGGCCCTCATGCACCCTCTCGTCCCTCCTCTGGGCTTCAGGGACTCACAGGCTTTTTGCCCCTCAACTCAGATTTTGGTTGGGCCTGCCTTGCATTCTGCCTCTCCGGTGCTCCCTTCTGCCACTGCTTTCCATTCGCTGTCACCGCAGGCCTCTTTCTCGGTTGTGTGGGGCAGGTCTCCAATGCTTGCTAATTCCTAAGGCCCCTGTTATCCTCTCTGACTCCTTGGGTCTATGGTGATCTTCACCTCTCTCTCTGACCCAAGCGATGTCCCACGCCCTCCCCTGTGGTTCCTTGTCTCCTCGTTGATCACCATCTCTCTGTCTCTGGGTGGCTCCCTCCGGGCACCTTACCTGCCATGCGTCTGGGTTCAGAAATGGCGCCGGTTCGGGGCTATGCTGTATGGAGAGTCGGGCTGCGCCCTGGCCCGACTGGAGCTCCTGGAAGGCCCCGAGAAGCCGCGCCGGGGAGAGCCTGCCAGGAGGGTGATCCGCCTCAGTGACTGCCTACGGTTGGCTGAGGCCGGCGGGGAGGCCAGCAGTCCCCGGGATACCAGCGCCTTCCTCCTGGAGACCAAGGAGCGCCTGTACCTGCTGGCAGCCCCCGCTGCTGAGCGCAGTGACTGGATGCAGGCCATCTGCCTCTTGGCCTTCCCTGTGAGTCACCCAGTGGTGCAGAAAAGGGAAGGGGCTTGCACATGGGAGTGGGTGTTATATGGGGCACTTGGTACTTGCTGTGGGCAGGTGTAATAAGAGCCAAGGTCAGGATGCTGGGGGCGGTTCCTTGCTGGGGGGGGGGAGGACCCTAATCCAGAATGCAGACAGGGATAGCAGGTTGTGTGTGCTCTGGAGGGAGTCCTGGGTCACAGGTGGGGCTTGGCATTGGTGACAGTGGTGAGACCTTGGCCTCCTCCTCAGGGCCAGAGGAAGGAGCTGCTGGGGCCGGCGAGGAAGGGCAGCTGGCCCTGCATGGAGGAGAATGAACTGTACAGCAGCGCGACCACAGGTGAGGGGCTGCCTCTCCTCCTGGGGCGCCCTCCCCAGGGTGTGGTGGGGAGGAGTTGTGGGCCGTGGCTGGCCGCCTCTGAGTCTTCCTGCCCTGTGGTTGCCCCCAACCCTGGCCAGTCCCCTTATCAGCTTCTCTGCATCATTTCCGGGAGTGGCCTGAGGTGGCTGAGCCTGGACTGCTCTGGGTGTCAGGCCTCTTCCCCCACCCCCACCCCTGTGGCTCACTCCCTCTTGCCCGGGCCCTGATGGTGGCAGAGGGCAAGGCTGGGGGATCTGGTGAAGGTGCTGCTCTTGAGCCCTCTGTCCTTGGGGCCTGAGTGACTGTCTGAGAAGAGAATGGTTTTATTTTTGTGGATTTAAGATGTGCAGAAAGCTAAGGGAGCTTTCTGCTGATGAGACAGTCCCTTTTTGTGATGTCTAACCCACCGAGTTGGGCGTGTGTGGGGAGCAGATGGACACAGGGTGACATTCAAGCTCCACCTCACAGAGGGCACTGGATGGCGTCAGCAGTGGGTGGGCTGGCTGCGAGCTGGGAGGGTAAGGTCGGCTGCACCTGCAGCTGTGACAGCAGGACTTGGGGAGGAGGCTGGGTCGGGGTGGGAGAGTAGGTGGAGAAGACAAGGCTGTGGCTCTGGCAACAGGAGCAGGAAGGATGTGGGCACAAGGTTGGGGAGCACGTGGCCAGGGCATGATGCCGACTAGGCTAGGGGGTGGAGGCACCTGCATTTTGGAGAATATGACCAGTCACAGGGCAGCTCAGCCTCCAAGACGCAGGCTGCAGGCTCAGGGACACAGGGATAATGCCTTTTCTGGAGGCCTCTGGCACGCTTATTTAGAGCAGAGTTGAGGCATGACATCTGTTTCCCATGAACTGCCTGATCCCTCTCCCCTCTCTCCCTGCCAGTGGCCCCCCGCAAGCAGTTCTCTGTGACCATGAGACCCACAGAAGCCAGTGAGAGGTGTCGGCTCCGGGGATCCTATACCCTGCGGGCTGGAGAGAATGCTCTGGAGCTGTGGAGTGGCCCTGAGCTGGGCACCCAGCTATATGAGTGGCCTTACAGGTTCCTGAGGCGCTTTGGGCGGGACAAGGTGAGCAGGGGCTGCTGTGCTGAGCAGGTTGAGAGAAAGAACTGTGAGAGAGGAGATTGTCAGGGAGAGGGCAAAGGGAGCCTCAAGGAAGAGAGCATGGGAGGAGGAAGGGAAGGCTGAGATAAAAGTCAGCAGAAGTAAACAGCCAAAGGGGAGAGAGCCAGGGGAGGGAGAGAGAAGTTGGAGTGGGTGGGGACTAGAAGGACCAGAGAACAGGAAGAAGTAGGGAGGTCAGAGGAGTAAACAGTGGCTGGTGTTGTGGAGAATGAATATATACCAAGCTCCACACTTGAATGGATGGAAGGGAGAAGGAAGGGATAGGAGAGAGGGCTTTGCTTGTTAAGGAAAAAACCCAGAGGGAGGAGAACCATCCCGGGGAGAAGCTCTTACTGTTCCTGTGGAGGGAAGTTGGAAGCAACAGATTTGTGGTTGGGAGCTGGGTCTGGGAGAAGCGACTCCATCCTGTGGACCGGCCAGTAATCTCCCTTTCCCCTCCACCCAGGTAACGTTTTCCTTTGAGGCAGGCCGGCGTTGCGTCTCTGGAGAGGGCAACTTTGAGTTTGAAACCCGTCAAGGCAATGAGATCTTCTTGGCTCTGGAAGAAGCCATCTCTGCCCAGAAGAACAGCACCCTTCCTGGGCCCCAAACCCAGCCAGCCGCAGCCCCTGCGGTGCTGCCCCGGCCAGAAAGCCCCTATTCCCGGCCTCACGACTCACTGCCACCTCCATCGCCCACCACTCCAGTCCCCACTACCCGGCCGCAGGGTTCAGAGGGGGAATACGCAGTGCCCTTCGACGCAGTGGCCCGTAACCTGGGGAAGAGCTTGAGGGGCATCCTGGCGGTTCCTCCTAAGATCCCAGTGGACCCTCTCTATGACAGCATTGAGGAGCACCCAGCCCCGCACCCCGACCACATATATGATGAGCCCGAGGGAGTGGCCGCCCTGTCCCTGTATGACAGCCCACAGGAGCACAAGGGGGAAGCCTGGAGGAGGCAGGCCACAGCTCACAGGGACACCAGCAGCCTCCAGCAAGTCTACTCAGCAGGGCAGGACTTCTCTGCGTCTGGCTGGCCACCGGGAACAGAGTATGACAATGTCGTACTTAAGAAAGGCCCTAAGTGATGGGAGACAGAGGAGATGTGGACTTTATTGGATGCTGGTGCTGAAGCTATCCTGTGCCTGCTGGGGCACTGGTCAGAGGCTGGTGCAAAGTAGCCTGAGGGCGACCACAGGCCACCCTTCTAGTTTCTACAGGTTACTTCTCCTGGCCACCGCACTCCAGGGACTTCCCTCTGCGCCTTCCAGAGCCCTAGCCTTGGCCTGCCCTAGTCTGGTCTGAGGAGTTGTCCCTCCCAGGGCCTGCTGTGTGAGTCATAGTCCCAAAGCAGGAAGAATGCCCTAAAGAGACGCACCCTCCTCCTACCCCTTTTCCACTTCCTCTTCTGTCTTTCCTAAAGGAAGCTTGGGCATTTAGGGCAGAGGACAAATGGATGTCAGCAAATTGCCCTGGTTCCTTGCCTTATACAGGCCTCCTCCCTGCTAACGTCCCCTTCAGGGGACCGCCCTGGCTCCAGGCACTAGGAGGATGGCAGCAGCTTTATGTAGGTTTTGGGCTTCTCTGTGGCATTAAACACATCTGGAATATTTCTGTGTGGCATAAGTGCTGTGGGGCGGGCATGGGAGATCCATGGCCCTCTTGGGGACAAACGCTTCAGTTGGCCACTGTTGACACCTCCTGTCCTAGCAGCAAGATCTTCTCTGGGCCTAGGCTGGGTCCCACGCATCTGTCCACAGAGTGGGGGAGGGGGGTCTGTGAAAGTCAGGGCACTATGGGAAAGAGGTGCAAGCATCTCTAACCCTTTGCTAGCTTAGAGTCAACACCAGGAACGTAGTGGGGAGGCAGGGTGTATATGTGAAGAGCTGGACTGGAGGATGAGAAGCAGCAGGCACTTACTGAAGCTCTTATGCACTGGAAGTGGGAGTAACCAGCTGTGTGGCCTTGGATCGATCCCTTGCCTTCCTAAGACTTGCTTTCTTTGTTCACCATGTAGGGTTCTGAGAACTCTTCCTGCTCTGTAATTCTCCATAGACCCTCAGTATCCCACTTCCCTACAAGTCAGCCTCTATGCCCTGTGCTGCTCCCCCACCCCAACACCTGCTTTTAGTCCATGTCAATATCACATCATGTCATGTCAATACATTTCTGCTACCAGCCAGTTCAGCCAATGTTATAGAGCATTGCAAGGCTCTAGACTGCCCTGGCCTCAAGATGCTGACAGCCCAGAGAGGGCTGAGACAAGGGCACAGATGTCTATTACAAGTCACTGCATTACATTAATGTGGCACAAGGTGAATCAGGGTCCTGGGGGTCCAAGGGGACAACTGTTCACTGGGGGCATCTGAAGACCTCATCTGGAAGGTGGATCTTCAAGGATGCAATGTGATGAAGAATAAGGAGTGTGTGAAGAGAGCATCGTGGGTAGATCAATGAGCATAAGTGAAAATGTGGAGGAAGGTATGCATATGCTCGGGAAAGAGTTCCACATTCAGAGTGTATGTAGGGAACACATTCAGAGTGTAGGGCCATCTAGTTGGGAGGGCAGGGTCCAACCATGTTGTTGGGGGAGGGGTGACAGAGGAAGGGGGGAATGACAAGACTTTTGAGCAGAGAGTCCCATAAGAGTGGTGCATTAGGGCCATAACCCCAGCAGCTCTGTGGGAAATGGACTGGGGGTAGGATGGTTTGGGGCTGACTTGGAAGAGAAATTCAGAAAAGATTGGATTCAAAAGATGTTGAGATGGAGCCTGCAGATCTTAGAGTCATGTTGGGATCCCAGAGAAATAGAGTTTCTGGAAAGATTTCAGGTTTTGGGAAGAAGATGAGCTTCTTTTCTAACACATAGAGGTTAAGGTGGCTTTTCTGTATCCAGCTAGAAGAATCCTAAAAGCAGTTGAAAAGGGGCTCCATGGCTCAGGAGGGAAATGAGATAGAGATTCTGCATTGTGTTGTGATCTAAGTTTTATCTCAAACCATGCCTTTGCCCCTTGTTAAAGGAAGTCGAGCCAGTGGGTGAGCAGGCTAGAGACAGAGTAGGAGGTGGGCTTCCTGGAGCCTTGCCTCTTTTGTCTGTACCAAAGGGCTGTCCCTATTGCCACCATCCAATCGCAGCCTCAGAATAAATTGGAGGCAGAAAGGCTTAAGACATTTAAGGGCTTCAGTCATGCCCCTCTCCAGGTCAGGCACAGGAGTTGAGGGGCCCTTAAGCAAGGATACCACATTTGTAATATCCTTCAGGTAGCACTTGAGGTGGACGTCCCAGCTCAGCCCGGCAGGGGGCAGTGTTAGCCTGTGGAAAAGGCCACTGGGGGCTTAGCTGCTGCCCAGTGCGGGGGGGGGGGGGGGGGGGGGGGGGGGGGGGGGGGGGGGCTTGGTCCTGCAGGAGGGAACTTAACACGTTTGCTACCCAGAAGAATGGAGGATAGCTTGAGGAATCGGCATGACACTTCAGATGCTCAAATCCCACCCGGAGCCCTGTGGACCCTGCCTCCTACAGGTGTGGGACCCTAAGCTGAAAATTGCCCCCTCCCTCCTCTTTCCTCTCCTTGGAGATCCAGACACTGGTGATTTTTGTTCTGATGCTTGAAAGGGAAGTGGTAGATTGGGGTGCTAGGGAAAGGTGGTGTGAGGGTTAGGAGGGTGGGGGAAGTGGAGCTTTTGGGGAAGTTGGGAGGGGTAATGAAAGTCCTTGAGGCAGTTGTTAAGGACAATGACCACACCATCTGCGTCCCTTTCAGAAGGCATGACCAGGTGGGTGGGTCATCCTACAGAGAACTGTGTCAGTGCCAACGCAGCCAGCCTCAACCGCACTGTTGCCTGTGACATGTGTATCATCTCTTAGTCCATGCCACGTACCGGCCCCACCCAGAGCTGGGGGCTGAGGGTAATGACAGACTCATCCCCTGCCCTGGCAGAGCACACACACAGAGTGGTTATGCAGGAGATGGTTACTGAGTGGATTAATGGCTGGGTGAGCCTTAGGGATCCATCTCAAATGGAAGCACAGAGGTAAAGCCCTCCTTGAAGTGTTTCTGTGCCAGCCTGGCTGTCAGAGGCAAATTCATAGGTAAGGAAACAGACTGGTCTCGAGGGGACAGGGCAATGTAAGGCCAAGTGACAGTTCTACAGGAAAGGTTCTCTGGGCACCAGGGTCTGCTACCTGGCAGCTCTGCTGTGACCAGGACACTTAGAAACCGCTTATATTTGCTAATCATTATGCAGAGGTGACATCGGGGCAGATGAGAATGGCATCATGAGTGGTGCCCAGCATAGAGATGTGTACACAGATTCATAACTGCGCATGTGCACACACAAGCATACTATATCATTCTTCCTGTTTCCTTCCTCTTGCCTCCCTTTCTCTTTTCTTGAGAGCCTGAGTGGTGTGTGTGTGTGTGTGTGTGTGTGTGTGTGTGTGTGTGTGTGTGTTGGCCTGTGGTCTACCCTGTAAGCCTGCTCTCAGGCTCATGGTGGGGATATCCAGGGCCCCTGGTAAATTCCTACCTTGAAGCTTCAGACTATACCAAGGTCCAGATTGCCTGGGCCCCTCTGCTCACTCAGACTCCTCCCTAATGGCTGTATTCAAGCTGTTGCTACCACCACCTTTCAGTTGTGATGCTAACCAGCCTCCTGTTTCCTGCCTCCTAGGCACTGATTCTATTAGCCAAGGTGCCCACCTCCTACAAAGGCCATTTATAAAATCAGCTGGGACAGCTGGAGACCTCAGGGAGGGCAGGGCTGGGAAGCAAGGGAGCTGAAAGAGGGAGGTAGAGGAATGGAGGGGAGTTCTGGGCAGGGGCATCTGATCTGATTAGGCATCAGGCTGGCTTCCCCTGGCAAGCAGCTGCACATCGCTGCCTTGCTCCGATCCTCGGCTCCCAGGCCGATCCAATGCTGGCCAGCACGGAACAGGGCCCATCCGTCTCTCTGTCCTGGCCAGGCCGGTCTCTCTCCTCCCTGCCTCTCTCTTACCTCTGCAGCCCTCTTCTTGACACCAGCTTCTGGATCTCTGGGCCAGACAGAGGCAGCTGGTGAGTTCAGGAAGGGTTGCAGGTGGGGGAGCAGCAGGTTCTGAGGGGTTAGGTCGGGACCCGGCATCCCAGAGCTGATTTAAGTAATTCTGGGAGATGCACCCCGGGACAGGGTCAGCCTTCTGCTTTCAGAGAGAGCGGGGGAGGTGTGGTATGAAGACATGCCTGAAGGGGTGACAGCCATTGGGGTAATAGTAATGTTCTTGAGTTTGAACAGCATTTACAAACTACTTTGGGGGCAGTTTGGGGTAGTCGGTTAGGCATACAGGCTGCAGCCTGACTCCCTACATTCAAATTCTGGCTCTGCTGCTTGCTAGCTATGTGTCTTTGGGTCTCTGCTCTGATCACTTGTCCACCCATCTGTAAAATGGAGATATAATATGTTTCTCAGAGGTTTATTGTGAAGAAGAGGTGGGCTCCTAGAGCAGTGCTTGGCACACACAGAGCTCCCGTGTTATCCACAATCTCATTTTACTTCCAATGGCATGGCAAGGCTGGCAGAGTAGGATGTGCCCATGTCATCAGCAAGGGAACAGAAGCATAGAGAAGCAGAGCCCCCTGTCTTTGAGGGATGAACCTGGGCTTTGTGGAAGCTGGAGGACCTGGTTGGCGAGGAGAGCTAGGACATTGATGGGAAAGAAGAATATTCGAGGAGAGGGGAGGGGAACAACATCAAAGGCCTTTCAGGACCTGCCCACCCAGGGTAGGTGGCTCCTCCTGGCGGGACTCTGCCCACTTGGGCAGAGCTGCAATTGCTCTGTGATGATGTCCAGAAATGGGAAAAGTTGGAAGAGAGCTGCTTCATAGACTAGAAGGCTCTTGTTTGAGGCACAGCTGGAGGGCAGAAGCCACAGGGAGGTCTCTTTCATTTGAGCCCTGCACCCACTCATGGCCTGGCAGCTGGGACTCCAGGGCAGGGGCATGCTCCTTGCTGGGTAGAGGCACCTGGTGGTCCGGCTGGCATGGGCTGATGACTGGTGTGATCAAAATGCAGCTGTGGGGCCGCTGCCTGGCAGCTACCAGAGGTGCTCTGGGAGGGGGAGGCCGAGGAGAAGGTGGCAGAAAGGACAGAGACCTCTGAAGGAGTTTGCCCTCTCTCATTCTGGGCTGCAGATGTCCTAAGGGCAGATTCATTCTTTACATAATGTATTGTTGTACCCCCAGCACCTATGGCAATGCCTGGTATAAGGCAGGCACACATAATTCCTCCTTCCTTCCTTCCTTCCTTCCTTCCTTCCTTCCTTCCTTCCTTCCTTCCTTCCTTCCTTCCTTCCTTCCTTGCTAATAACTATTTCTTGATGGAAAGAATGAAGCCCATTTTACTTGGGGGGGCGGGAATATAAGGAGTCCCAGTGTGAATGATTTGTGGAAACTTGGGTCTCACCTCTAGAAATATTTTCCCCAATCAACTCTAGGAATCTCATCACTAGTCCTTTGGGTCCCCCATTTCTCTCCAAGCGGGCCTCTTTTAAAATGCAAAGTGGAGGGGCATCTGGGTGGCTCATGATCTCATGGTTCCTGAGTTCACACTGACAATGTAGAACCTGCCTGATATT